AAATATTTCAAATATATGATTTGACAGTCAGAATTCACTCTGATCAAAGTAAACTTGGAAAACAAATTAGTCAATGAGATATTGGCTTTAATAGGAATCAAGAAACCTAGAATGAGCCCTTACCATGCTCGAGGAGATCTACAACCTGAGCATTTCAACCCCAACTTACTAGATATGTGAAAACATCAAAATTTGAGCAGAAGTCAAGACATATCAATTTTAAGCATGTATTCACTGTTACATGCAATGGTGCCTTAAAGCTTACACCTTACTTGTTAATGTTTGGAAGAGAAACATCCTTGCCTATTCACTTGAGCTATAGAGTTGAAGATAATGAAGAAGATAATAGTCATCATAAACCAATATGTGTCTTATGTAAGGGACAGGCTGAAAGAACCTTATTGACAAGCAATGGCACAGCTTAGAAAACTGCTGATGGAAAAAAAACAAAACAAAAAACAAAGTAAAACAAAACAAAACAAAAAGCTGCACAATGCCCAAATTTGGTGTCAAGGTCTGTATACAAGTGACAGAATTTTGGGAAAGAACCTTTTGTGGTACTGTCATATTCAAAGATAAGTAGGTGAGTATTCCAGTTTAATACCTCTCTCTCCAATGTAGAAAGGGCTTTGATAGGGTGGAGCCAAGATGGCAGAGTGAAATAAGTGCCTTGCTTGAGCTCTCCCCCAAACCCTCCAAATACCTGAAAAAAAATGGCTCTAAACAATTCTAAAGCAGCAGAACCCACAAAAAGACAGAGTGAAACAAATTTCCAGCCCAAGACACCCTGGATGGTTAATCAGAAAGTTATATTGCGCCGAGGTGGGGGGGGGGAGGGGAAGGAGCGCAGTTGGGCGTGGATACACAGGCCACAGTAGTGACACTGGAGCAGACCTCAGAGGACTGAATCTTAGGCAGCTGGGGTGGTTTCCAGCTTCTCAACCCAGGAACGCCAAAGACAACTTAGAAGGTCAGTGGGAAAAGTCTGTGACTGAGGTGAGAGAGAAGCTAGGTCCCAGCCGCAAGGCCCTAGTGCGGGCCACAGCTGCCTCCTGAGCTTCCAGTCCACAGACTGAGGGGGAATCAAGTGACTGATCAGAGGAGGATTTCAGAGGTCTCTTTGCCAGTGCTGAGGAAGGAATCTTTTGCTTTGCCCATGCTTGGATCTGGGTCACAGTTCTGAGGGGCGGTCCTGGGGCCAGGAGGAGTGCTGGAGTGGTGGAGCTTGTTGTGATGGTGGAGAGGAAACACCTGGCCCCATATCATCCACCTTGGAAGAACTGAAAATTTACAGGTCCCTAGAAATATCTCTGAAAACAGCTGCACAAACCCCCGAAGCTTGGGACAGTATATTCTCCACATTTGAAGCAGACTTTTGCCTTAACAAAGAGTTTAAAACTCAAGTAAACTGGCTGGATCATGAGTAAGCAGCGCAAAAAGAGTCAGACTATATTATCTTACTTTGGTGACAAAGAAGATCAAAACATACAACCAGAAGAAGAAAACAAAGTCAAAGCTCCTACATCCAAAGCCTCCAAGAAAAATATGAATCAGTCCCAGATCTCGGAAGAGCTCAAAAGGGATTTTGAGAAGCAAGTAAGAGAAGTAGAGGAAAAACTGGGAAGAGAAATGAGAGTGATACAAGAAAATCATGAAAAACAAGTCAACAGCTTGCTAAAGGAGATCCAAAAAAATACTGAAGAAAATAACACAGTAAAAAATATCATAACTCCAATGGTCCAAAAAGTCAATGAGGAAAAGAATGCCCTAAAAAGCAAAATTGGCCAAATGGAAAAGGAAGTCCAAAAGATTATTGAAGAAAATACTTCCTTATAAATTAGAATAGAGCAATTAGAAGCTAGTGACTTTATGAGAAATCAAGACACTGTAAAACAAATCCAAAAGAATGAAAAATTAGAAAACAATGTGAAATATCTCATCGGAAAAACAACTGACCTGGAAAATAGATCCAGGAGAGAAAATTTAAAAATTATTGGATTATCTGAAAGCCATGATCAAAAAAAGAGCCTAGACATCATCTTTCAAGAAATTACACAGGAAAACTGCTATTTTAGATATTTTAGAATAAATAGAAATTGAAGGGCAAAATAGAAATGGAAAGAATCCACTGATCTCCTCCTGAAAGAGATCCCCAAAGGAAAACTCCTAGGAATATTGTAGCCAAATTCCAGAGTTCCCAGGTCAAGGAGAAAATATTACAAGCAGCCAGAAAGAAACAATTCAAGTATTGTGGAAACACAATCAGGAGAACACAAGATTTAGCAGCTTCTACATTAAGGGACAGCAGGGCATGGAATATAATATTCTGGAGGGAAAAGGAGATAGGATTATAATCAAGAATAACCTACCCAGCAAAACTGAGCATAATCCTTCAGGGGAAAAAATGGTCATTCAGTGAAATAGAGGACTTTCAAGCATTCTTGATGAAAAGACCAGAGCTTAATAGAAAATTTGACTTTCAAATACAAGACTCAAGTGGAACATGAAGAGGTAAACAGGAAAGAGAAATCATAAGAGACTTATTAAGGTTGAACTGTTTACATTCCTGCATGGAAAGATGATATTTGTAACTCATGAGACCTTTGTCAGTATTAGGGTAGTAGAAGGGAAAAAATTATATGTATGTATATGTATTACATATGTGTATATATATATATATATATATATATACACATATATATACACATAGAGGGCACAGGGTGAGTTGAAGATGAAGGGGTCATATCTGGAGAATAAAATTAAGGGGTGAGAGAGGATTATACTAGGAGAAGGAGAAAGGGAGAGGTAGAACGAGGTAAATTATCTACCAAAAAAAAAAGAAAAGAAAAGGCTCTTACAATGGAGGGGAAATGTGGGAAGGTGAGAGGGAATGAGTGAATCTTATTCTCATAGGATTTGGCTTAAGGAGGGAATAACATACACACTCAATAGGGTATGGAAATCTGTTTTACCCTACAGGAAAATAGGGGGGGAAGGGGACAAGAGAGTAGGGGGAATGATAGAGAGGAGGGAAGATTGGGAAAGGGAGTAATTAGAAGGAAATACTTCTGAGGAAGGACAGGTTCAAAAGAAAGAATAGAATAAATGGGTGGGGGTAGGACAGGATTAAGGGAAATAGAGTTAGTTTTTCCCAGCATGTCTACTATGGAAGTGTTTTGCATAACTGCACATGTATATATATATATATATATATATTACATATATATATTACATATATATATATATATATTGAGTTGCTTGCCTTATCAATGAGGGTGGATGGGGAGGGAGGAAGGGAGAAAATTTGGAACCCAAAGTTTTAAAAACACATGTCTAAAAAAACGTTTTCACATGCAACTGGGAAATAGGAAATAAAGGAAATAAGGTACAAAAAAAAAGAAAGGGCTTTGATATTGAATAATGATAACTTAAATAAAATTCTTTCTAGCAGACATGCTTCTAAAACATACAATATCACAATTCTTTTCCTCAGTAAGACTAGGCTGTAAGGAGCTTAAAATGCCACTCACAGGTACTTATATTTCATCCTAGGGCAATAGGGAGCCACAGACAGATATGTTTTAGGAATATCACTGGTAGCAGCAATGAGGAGGACAGATTGCAGAAGTAAGGGATTTGAAGCGTAGGAATGAATTAGGAGGCTCTTGGCTATCCAGGTGAGTAGAAGGATATGAGAGACTGAATTATGGGGTCATTGTGGCAACACAGAGCAGGAAATAGAGGTGAGCACCTCTGCGGAGGTAGATTAGGCAACTGACTGCACATGTGAACTGAAGGAAAAACATAATAAGAATTTACCAATTGCATGCATTCTTTTTGTTGCCAGTGATAATCTTCCCATCCTCCAGAAGGAAAGTCTTCACTCTTGATCTTGCTTTCTTCCAATATAGCCTAAACAAACAAACAAACAAACAAAAACAACTTTGTTGTCCTTAGATACAACAAAAGAGAGAACACTTCCTGCCCTTCTAATTTTCTGGGCTCACTCTTAAGACCTCAAGTACTGCATCTATGGGGCTGCTAGGTGAGGCAGTGAATAGGATTTTTGGACCTGGAATCAGGGAGAATCATCTTCCTGAGTTCAAATTTGCCCTCAGACACTTACTAGCTGTGTGACTCTGGGCAAGTCACTTCACCCCGTTTGCCTCAGTTCCTTATCTGTAAAATGAGCTGGAGAAGAAAATGACAAACCACTCTAGTGTCTTTACCAAGAAAATCTCATATGTGGTCAGGAAGTGTGGGAGGCGACTGACCAACTGCTTTAGACATACGTATTTGTTCCATAAACAACTATTGTTATGCTAAATACTGAGGATATAAAGTTTCCTTCAAAGCTCAGCACAAAGTCTACCTCCTACCTAGTTCTAGAAATGTTAGTTATAGCAAGAAGGATCCCATTATCAGAGAGGAGACGGAGTGATCTATACTTCGGGAAAGCAGTGATCATTGGATCACAGATGCAGAGCTGAAAGGGCGGGGGAGGTAACAACCATTTATTAAGCAGCTTGAAATTCAATTCAATTAACTTTTATTAAATCCTACTATATGGCAGGCGTGTAATGCTTTACAAATATTATTTGTGAAAAGGCAGGCAACACAGAGGCAATTTAGTCTAATTTCTATCCTGCATTTTACAGATGAGGAGTATGAAGCCTATGGAGGTTAAGTGACTTGCCCTAAGACGATACTGGTAATACCTGTCATAGGTAGGATTTGAATCCAGGACGTCTGATTCCAATTCACTAGATGGATGTAGTCTGAAGGTTCTGCTGGAAGAAGGAAAATGCAAGTATCTGTTGGGGTAGGATGTGTCAAGCAGATTCTGATCCTCGGAGCCCCAGCTCCTCCCACCAGGTACAGGGAGTAGTCCAGACCATAAAAAGTAAACAGTCAAAAAAAAAAAAAAAAAAAAAGACTGGCTCCTCAGCCCAATCAGGCTCCTCCTCCCTCCCGTTTCACAAGTGGTCTAACAGAAAATGGGAAGGTCCTAGTGTGGTGCTGGGTCCTTGCTCTTACTTGCACTTATCTGTTTAATCCCACTTAGAGGCAGGGCAGCGGACTGGGCTGAGATGGCTGACACAGTCCGCTGCCGGCTGCTTCTGCACTTGGAGCACCTGACTTCGGGGGAGCTGAAGAAATTCAAGCTGTATCTGGTGAACTGCCTCCCCCGGGGCTGCCTGGAGGAGGCCGATCGCCCCAAACTGGCAGATCTCCTGGTCAGTTCTCTTGGGCAGCAAGAGGCCTGGGAGCAGGCTCTGCGCATCTGGCAGAATATGGGCCTGAGGGAGCTGTGCGAGCGAGCCAAGAAGGGTAAGTGCCTGCCTGGGGACTGGGACTTACCCCTTCCACTTGCACAGCTCCCCCCTCCTCTCCCCGCTCCCCAGGTTCCCTTTTTCCTTCTTTCCTCTCTCCTCCCCTCCATCCTCCCTTGCTCCCTTCCTTACTTTCCTTACTTGGAATTCTCTTCCAGGGCTTCTCCCAAACCAAAATTACCTTATATTGACTCTGCAAAGATTTTGTGTTTGTAAGTAGTTTCCCTCTAAAGAATGTAAGCTTTCTTCAGGGCAGGCACTATGTCATTTTTATGTTTGTATCCTCAGCACCTAGCTCAGTGTTTGGCCTGTCAAAGCTACTTAATAAATGCTTATCGAATAATTTCTGTCTTTAGAATAAGAGGATCCCATTGGGATACATGACACAGGGCTGAGATAGGAAGAGGGGGTCACCTCTATGTTTTTTCATAACAGTCAGGATGGGAGGAGTGGATTTCAGTTTCTGTTTCCTGATACTGGAGGGGAAGAACATCTGGGCCATGAGGAGAGTTTGCTGGTGGGAAGAGAATGCTCAGGGGGTGCCAGTAGGTGGAGGAAGGAATTTATGAGAAAGGCAGATGGTAGATCTGGGAGAATGAAGTTAATAGAGGAGATTTCAACTGTGGTCTCAGCTGCTGAAAGGAGAAACAGGGGATGAGGACCAGTGGAGAAAGGAGGAGATGAAATGAATTGGGTCAGGCTTTGATCAAGTATTGTATTTCAGCACAAGGAAAATGTCCCAGGAAGAGAATGATTAGATTACTGAATTTAAGACAATTCCCTGGATTCTGTGCTGAGTCAGGAGCAAGAATAGAAGTTCTTTTCTTTTTTTTTTTAAATGAGTGCAAAATATCAAGAAGTCAATCAGATGGCAATCACAACAGCAAGTATGAGAAAGAATTTCATTCTATTAAGTAAACTTTTGTTGTTGAGTCATGACTCTTTGTGATCCCATACGAGGTTTTTTGGCAAAGATATTGGAGTAGTTTCCCATTTTCTTCTCTACCTCATTTTACAGAGGAGAAACTGAGGCAAACAAGGGTAAGTGACTTGCCCAAGGTCACACAGCTAGTAAGTATCTGAGGCCAGATTTGAACTCAGGAAGATGAGTCTTAACGTCTTCAGGTCCAGCCCTTTACTGTACCTATCTGCCCAAAATCTTAATGGATCATTATCAAAAAGTCACCCCATAGTCATGCAGAGATTTCAGAGCTGGCCCATACTCTTTGCATGCTCTGCCCACTCCCATCTAGGACTTGATATTCAGGTACCCTGGATCAGGGAGGAGGGAAGAAACAGGAAATAGCAAAAAATTGTCATTTAAAGTTCTGAAGTGGTGGGGGCAGCTAGGTGGTGCAGTGGATAGAGCACCGGCCCGGGATTCAGGAAGACCTGAGTTCAAATCCAGCCTTAGACACATAACACTTAGTAGCTGTGTGACTCTGAGCAAGTCACTTAACCTCATTACCTAGCCAAAAAAAAAACCAAAAACAAAAAAACAAGTTCTGAAGTGGAGACAGTGAAGTAGGATCTTTGAAACAGTGCTGTGATATTTGGGACCCTATCTCCCACTAGGTTTCTCAGACTAGTTCAACCCTACTAGGAAACAGAAGTCTAAACCACAAGCTCTCCATGCACTTAAAACTTCCTCTAAGAGCACTGGGTTGTGGTGAACAGTTTCGCCCACTTAGTATCAGTGTCCAGTTTGAACATCTGAAGTCAGTCATTAAAAAAGTTAAAACTCCCTACCTATTCACTTAGAATTCAAAAACAAGAACCAACAGGATAACAACATTAAGCCAAACTTCTACTCAGCCAGAGATAAGAGGGCCTTAGATCCTTTCCTTTCCTTCACCTGGGCAATGCATAAGATCTTCCCACTCCCTTGAGACCCAGATCATACCCTTCAAGAAGTCTTCTGTAATCCATTAGCCTGCAGAGATCTCTCTCTCCTCCTGAACTCCTGGTTATCTACATGCCTTTAGTATGGCAGTGCCTGGCACATAGTCAGTGCTTAATAAAATTCTTGTTGCTTAATTGATTCACTGTCTCATTTGGTTAACCTTTCAAAGCTTACATATCATATTATTGTGTCTGTATCACTCAACAAGCTTTTATTTGTGGAGTTTGTGGTGCTGAGACCCAGCACATTTCATTCCAACTCCTCAGGGCCCGAACTGAAATCTCCTCCTTAATGCTGTTCTCCACCTCTATTCCTACTCTCAGCTCCCAACTATCTACTTATGCAACAGATAGGTCTCTTATTATCTTCTGCTTTTCTTTCCTACAGAGGATCTCGGATTCATTCCTGCTCCAGTTCTTACAGCCTCCTCAGGTCAGTAACCGCTGTCAATGTATAAGTCTAGGTTCAGTTAGTTTTTATTTTTTTTTCCATCTGTCATCCTGGACCTCAGATTGTTTATTAATGGGGTCTCAGCAGTAAAATTTAAGAGGATGTGTTTCAGGAAGCTGGACTATTTCCCCAACCCTTGAGTGTATTAAAATCTTATGGATTATAGCAGATAATATATCTACTAGAAAGGCAAGATGGAAAAAAATACTGGCCGTGTGTTTGTTTAGGAATAGGGTGAAATAGTTGGACCGACACTGTATTGATGGTAGAGGTTATAGGGAATTGCTGGAATTTTAAGGAAAATGACATGATCAGATCTGTGCTTTAGGAATGTCACTTTTGTAGTAGTATGGTAGATGGAAAGGAAAAGGATTTGAAATGAGATGCTAATAATTAGGAAGCTAATATAACAGAACAGGAGAGAGGTAGTGTACTCTCAAATCCAGGGACACTGACCTAGATTTTTCCAGAAATAAGACACTCCATCTCTAGCTTCTTGGAATTTTCTCTGGCTGTCCCCCATGCCTGGAATACTCTTCCTTCATCATCTCCTCCTACTGGTTTTCCTGGCTTGTTTTAAGTTCTAACTAAAATACCATCTTTTACACTAAGGTTTTTCTGACACCTCTTAATGCTAGTGCCTTCCCTCTCTTACTTATTTTCTACTTAGCTTGTATGTAGCTCATTTGTACATATCGGTTTGCTAATTTTCCCAACTAGATTATGAATTGAACCCAGATCTCTCCTGACTCCCATGTCTAATGCTGCCTTTCTAGAGTTCCTTTTCTATTACTGCTTTACCCTTTCACCTTTCATTGTGCTCCCCCCAAAAAATATAGGATAAAGTAACAAGAACATGAGACAATACACAGAATCTACTCTTTTTTCTAGCCTGTAAAAATATTGTCAATATGGTCAGGATCAGTTTATGTCATCCTTGCCTCTGACCTAGCAGCCATTATAATAAAGTCAGGTTCTGAAACTCCCTGGGGAATTGCGGGGTGGGCAGTGCGGCAGGAGAAGATCTTGGAGATCGGGGATAAGGGATATCTAATTATCACAAGCCCTTGAACTCCGACTATAGTAATACAAACTCTCAGGAGTAATATGCCCTTGCTGAGTGTGTTTTTTTTTTTTTTTAGTCACTCTTTCTCTTCTGGGCCTCAGAGAATTGCTGTTTCATGATTCCTCATGAACCATGGTTGCTCCATAGATAGGGCTTGATTCTCATTTGTGATTTTTCAGTTTCCTTGTGTTTTTGTAGTTACTACTTTCTACCCTTATGTTCCATATCAAGGCCTAAGACTTTATGTCTAAAATCCTGAGAAGAAAAATCTCCATATCCAAAAAGAAGTCCAGCGTGTGAGGGGGTTAACACATTGAGAAGAAGGTGCTTTGGAGGAAAATGATCCCACAAACTTGACACCTTGTTCCTCTCTACAGGATCCCAGACAGGACAACTACTAGCTGTATCTAAAGTTGAAGTGTTTCAGAAAAATTCTCCTTCCTCACCAGGTAACCAAACACAAAGAATATGCCCTGGGGGCCCCTTTCTGCTCAAAATATAACAAAACAAACAAAAACAAAATAAATAAACCAACAAACAAAAAACCCTGAGGGTAAGGGTGACAAGGATAATGGAGAGTTCTTTTTGGGAGCTCAAATTCTCCACCATCAAATCAAGGAAAGAATTATTAAGGAAGGTGGTGGGGTTAGGGGTAAAATAAGAGTGGGAAAATTGCCTTTCATCCTTGGTCCTAAGAAAAAAGAACCTTTTTACCCCCTTGTCAGGTATAGAGATCTGTAGAAAGCCCCAAGACACAGGGACTAGGGGAGGGTTGTAGACAGTTCTTATTCACAATACCTGGAACACCAAGAGTGGGTGAGTCAACCAGGACAAAAAGCCATGATTTGGCTATATGAGTTTGCTAGAATTCTCCATATTATACCTATTTTCTTTCTATATATTTTCTTCTTCCTCAGGAGTAATTCTTTTCCTTTGGCCAAAGTTTCAGCTCATGGTTCACCAATGGTTCCTTACTGTTTTCCCCATTTCTAATCACACACTTTAATTCTCCCTATTGTCTCTTTCTCCTATCCCAGCTGATATGTCCCTTATTCCTATATCTAACTTAATCCTATTTACCTCCAATCCTGCTCCAGATCTGCCTTCACCTTCTACTGTGCTCTCTGGAATGTGTGTTCTATTATTAATATCTTTAAAAAACAAAACAAAACACATATCTTTTCCTTTCTCACTCCTTCCATCTTTTGGTACTCATAAAGATCTCCATTCTGATGACAATGATTGCCAGAATGGATTCCTCACTTTCCCTTACTACCTGCAGTTGCTATCTTTGCAGCAATAATTTCACAACCTGAAAGAAGGCTGTGAAAAGTTGCTGCTGTTCTCTTTATTACAAAATATTATGACCTTTTTTCTCAACCCTCACCCTTTTGCAGGCATTTGGTACTATCACCTTCTACTGGATTTTCTCTTTTCTTTTGGTTTTCATGGCTCTACTCTTTCTGGATTCTCCTTCTACCTTTTTTATCTCAATCTCCTTCAATGGATCTTCATCCAATTCAATTTCTAACGGTGGGTGTCCCCCAAGGCTTTGCCTTGCACCTTATTTTTCTTTTATCTCTACTTTATTGGTGATATTATCAGTTTTCTTGGACTCAATTATCATTTCTATACAATTGATTCTCAGACTTTTATAACCAACTCTACTTTTTTTTCCCTTTAACCAACCTTTCTTTTCTGAACACCAGTCCCACTTCTCTACTTGCCTATTTACAATTTCTGTCAAGAAGTCCTTTAGGCATCTCAAACTAAAAATATCTAAAGCAGAATTCGTTGTATTTCTTCCCATATTCTCCCTTCTTGTGAACTCTCCTATTGAAAGTACCACAATCTTCCCAGCCATCCAGGTTTGAAACTGTGGTATATTCCTCTGCAGCATGCTCTTACTCATCCCAAGGGTCCAAATCACTTGTCAATTCTTGTTATTTCTGTCTTTACGACATCTTTCATATATATTATCTTATCCTCATTAACAAAACCAAAACCCTAGCTCAAGTTCTCATCCCCTCTCACTTGGACTATTGCAATTGCCTTCTACTTGGTCTCTCTGCTTTAAGTCTCTCCTCACTCCTATTCATTCTTTATAGGGATGTCAAAGCTCCTTGAAGAAATGTACTGTTTTTGTGTTATTTTCTTTCTTTATATCCCCAGTGCTTAACATAATACTTGTCTCAAAGAAAGCACTTAATAAATGCTTGTTGATTGATTGAATTCATGAAAATGAAAACTTATGAGGCCTTTTACTAGGACACAAGAGGACCATAGCATATAGTAGGGATTCTTATGCAAGCAGTGTTACATATCAAAAGGTGTCTTCTATTTTGTAGCTCCTCAGGCAATCCAGGCCAGTGCCACAGATACACTCAAGCTTTGCTCCCCTGAAGACTTCCTAATGCTAAGGAAGAAGATGGCAGGACAGGTGCTGTATATTTGCTCTTTTTGCTGGGGTGAAGGGAAGAATGACTTGGTAACTCACCCAATTAAACAAATATGTGATGCTCTTGTGGGAAGGGGATCTTTTCTACAGCTGCCTTAATGATTGTGAGACATCAAAGAGCAAGATCTTTCCAGTTCCTATGCCAGATTTCTTGCTCCTTTTTTTTCCAGTTGCTAAGCAAAGCTCACATTTTTGTCCAAGACCTTTCAATGAACACCCATACCCTACTCTGGATTTCTGATTTCTGATACTTCCTTCTTCTGTTCCCTATGTCCAACATCATTTCTATTTAAGATAGTGTTTACATGGTGACATCTCATAAATGTTGAAGAAGGCTATTATACTCTCATTTGATCAACTTGTCTTTGTCTTTGAATTGAAAGTGTCTGGGGAAGACTCATTCACATTCATATTCATCCCCTACAGATATACCCAGTGATGGAGAAAGAAGCCCGCACACGTCGGGCTCTCATAATCTGTAACACGAAGTTTAACTGGCTCCCTCCGCGGAATGGGGCTGAATATGACATCAGAGGCATGAGTGACCTTCTTGAGGGTCTGGGTTACAGGGTAGATGTTGAAGAGAATCTCACAGCTTTGGTAAGTACAGAGGTAAGCCCTTTCTCACTCCAAAAGTTATAGAAAATCCCTAACCCAGGAAATGCAGAAGTTTCATTCCAAGGGCCAAGAGAACTCAGATTTGTACCCAGAGAGTTCAGCATTTCACAGCAGGAAGTTAATAAATCTTTACTTTGGATAGTCTTTTGTGGACTTGATGAGACAACTCTCCTCCCCTGACACTTCCCTAAAGGTGCTGATTTTGGAATGTTTCTGTGCTTCCTTTAAAATGTAGCTTGAACCTTCCTTTCAGTTCAAAACATTTATTTTACCCCTAAGATACAGCTGTTCCTTTGAGTGTTCATATTATTAGATTCTTTGACTATACATTCTCAGATCAGCCAATCTGGACTTTCCGTTAGGAAATGGAGTCAGTGCTGCAGCGATTTGCCTCCTGTCCAGACCACCAGACTTCTGATAGTACTTTTCTGGTACTTATGTCTCATGGTATGCCAAGTGGCATCTGTGGGAAAGATTACAGAAAGGAAGACTCCCAGATTCTACCTGTTGCCAGGATCTTCCAAATTTTCAACACTTCCAACTGTCCCAGTTTGAAGGACAAGCCCAAGGTCATCATCATTCAGGCTTGCCGAGGGGGTGAGTATGGATTGGGATTAATGCAGAGTATAATCATTCAGGGGGCTTCGTCTTCTGTAAGATAATCTGCACATCTCAATTATTACAGACTTCAACTGTGATGGAAAAATATATAATGCCACCAATAGATATACTTTTCTATGGAAATTCTTTAATGGCCTGATGCTCATTCTGGTAATAAGTCTGGTGAGTTCAGAAGAAGTTTCCTAGATCATTTGAAATGTACTCATCTACCACTTCTTGATAATGAGCGTCATTCCCATTCTGTTACCTTGGCAATCTAAACAGTCAAGAGAGGTGGTATGGTTTAATAAAAAGAGCAGTGGACCTGGATTCAGGAAATCTTTGGTTTAAATTAAGGGACAGTGGAAAGATCAATGGATTTGGCATAAGAGGACCCGAATTCAAATCAAATTCTATAAAACACCATCTCATTTAGGAAATGGTTATAACTCCTAAGGCAGAATTGAGTTAACTCTTGTAGGAATGAGGGATAGAGAACTAACTGCTCAGTCAGAGGACTTCAGTCTAAATCTTGCCTCTGATACTGTGTGACTGTCAGCAAGCTTAAACTTTTAGGGTCCTAGTTACTTCCAGTTTCAAAATAAATGTGTTGTTCTAAACTGTCTCTGAGTTCCTGTAGATCCAGCCTTTGACACATGACCATGTTAGTTTCTTAAAATCCCAATGCTACTGTTTCTTATTCTATGAAGTTGGAGAGATGCAGCACTTGTTGTGAGACTTCAATGAGGTAATATATGTAAAATAGTTTGCAATGCTTAAAGTGCTATAGAAAAGTTACTATAACTATGACCTTGAGAAAATTCATATCAACTGTAGAAGACATGGGTTCTGAGGTGTGTGTGTGTGTGTGTGTGTGTGTGTGTGTGTGTGAGAGAGAGAGAGAGAGAGAGAGAGAGAGGGAGAGAGAGAGAAGGTATATGTTTTGTTAGTGCCAGATGCTTGCTCAACATTTGAAGATGCTTGTTTCTGCTCAATGTATATTAACCCCAAATCTCATGTTTCTGCAGAGAATTCGGGGGTTGTTTGGGTCAATGATTCAGCAGTACCCTCTGCAGAGAGTTGTACCGAGGACCTATGCATCTTTGAAAGTGATGCTCTCTGTAGGGCCCATGTGGAAAAGGACTTCATTGCTTTCTGCTCATCAACTCCGGGTAAATGACTTCCTGGGCAAGAATTTTCTAATAAGGGTCTCCCAGTGCACAATTTCCACTCATCTAGTGCAAAATGGAACAAGAAGCCATGTTTGTTAGGGATTTGGTGGAGGATCATATGATGAATGTAGCATTCTTGGTTTTTCTAGCCCTTTTCCAGAAAACCTCATTGGTTCTTTCCAGTTAAATTTTATGTATGTTTTCCCACAGCCACTGATCTCATACACATTCTTCTATCACTGTCATTCAGTAAGGCTGACTGACTCACAACTTATTGTTTGTGAAACACCTTCCTGTATGGCAAAGCTCTTAAACCTAAAGCAATTTGCAATTTGTGTAGGCAAAAAATATAGATATCAGCAGTTTAAAAACACAAGCAGGATGACAATTTTGGAAAGACAGATTAATCAAGTTTATAATATATTTATTAAGAAGAAAAGCAAAGAAATCCTAGTCAAATGGAATTAGAGAAGTGTTCAGGGTTTTTTTTTTGTTTGTTTTTAAGAAAGGCATTGAAAATCTATAATCATATATAATCATAGGGGGTATGGCTTGGTGTAGAGGAAGAGGGGGAAGAGGTTATAGAAACATGTGCCAAGGTTGCTACATTTCCTAGCATCTCATTCCCAAATATATTCTTCTGGAGAACAGAGTGCCTCTTTTGAGAAAGAAGAAACTGTAATTTGTAGTGAAAAAAGGTCAATAAGAAAGATATATTATTGAAGAAATTATCCTTGGGGTAAGAAGAACTAGCCTAATGCCATTTATTCATTCAGTCATTTACCATTTATTAAGTTTCTACTCTAGATAGGGTACTATAACTTTTTTTTCTGGAAGTTGCCTATTTGCTTCTCCTTCTTCATTAGGACAGGGACAAAAGGTCCCTAGCTTATAGAATCTAGTGTCAGCTTAATTTAGGCCCTCTTTACTTCTGGCTTGGACTATTGTAATATGTTCCTAACAACTGTCTCCATTCTCTCTCTTTCCAATCCATCCTTTACATAGCTGCCAAAAGGATCTTCTTAAGGTACAAATCTGAAATCATGTCATTTCCTTGCTCAGAAATCTCCAGTTGCTCCTCATTTTTATTGCTTGCACCCAGAACAATATCTTGCACATAGCAGGCACTTAATCAATGCTTGCTTAATTGAATTTCCTAAAAGGCAAAAGACATTGACCCTTAGCCTTGCCTTTAAGGCCCTCCAAAATGTTTACCATGGAGCTTTTGGCCCTAATTTCACACCATGCCTCTTTTTTGCCCTTTTATCTTCTAGATAAACTAAACAAATAGTACTCTGATATCATCCTCCCTTCTTTCCTCTATTGCCACTGTTGAAATACTTCTACTCCTTCAGAACTCACTTTAAGTGGCATTTCCTCTGGGAAACCTTCTTTAATCCCCTTTCCCAAGGTAAAAATATTCTGTCCCTTTATAGCAATTTTACTGAATCTCTTCTTTGCCCTTATTATATGCTACCTTTTTACCTCCTTAAGTATGTTTGTATCTAATCTTCTCTTTTGGATTGTAAATGCATTGAAGAAAGGAAATGTATTATTTTTCATCTTTGAAATACCTTGCACATATCAGATGTCTAATGCCTGGAAAATTGAATTCAATTCCCAGATAATGTGTCTTGGAGAAACGTCCACAAGGGCTCTCTTTTCATCATCCAATTAATTCATTACTTCAGAGAGTATGCTTGTTGCGACCACTTGTATGATATTTTCCACAAGGTAAGATAATCAACACATCATAGGCTTTTATCTCAGTGCTTTACAAGCCTATTTCTGTCCCTCTTCATTCTCCATTTTGCCCTTCTGCCTTGTTAAGCTGTGATGGTCATTCCTAAGCTGGAAGACCTAGGTCAGAAACAGCCTGACCTGTCATAAATCACAATAGCCATGGGGCAATCAGTTCTTCATATTCTCTTCCTGTCCTGCAGCAACCTATATCAGTGGTTACCAATTTCGGGCAAGAATCTAGGACTACGTCAGTTCCTCTCTTCTCCTGGGAGGCTAGCAAATGGGAAGAAAGATTTGTTTGGTATAATATTTTCCTTGGTTCTGGTATTCATGAATATCTTTTTTCTAAGAAACATCTCTTTTTGTTTAGGTCCAGAATTCATTTGAGACCCCAAAGTTGAGTGTGCAAATGCCAACCATTGAAAGAACAACATTAACGAAGTATTTCTATCTTTTCCCTGGCAATTAAAACTAGTAGGCATCAGCAACAGTGGCTGTTGCAGCTCAGGTAAATTACACCAATCTGTAGAAGGGATAAAATTTCCCATCTTCAGGTCTAACATGAATAAGAGAAAAAAGTACAAAATGGCACTTGTTTTGGTGAATAATGTAGAACTTTCTTCTTGAATTTTTTTTTAATCTTAACATGTCCTTGCCCTGATTGTATAAATGGAGAAGGTGATGATCAGGCCAATAGAAACCTAGTCAGATCATTCTTTTATCCTGGTTGATAAAGAGTCTAAGAGTTCTTCTCTTGTTTTGATCTTGAATATACCCACATTGATGATATTGCACTAGAAGGACCATTTTTAGGATTGAAAGTTAACTTATGACATCCTTACTATGAAGTCAGTTATACCTTTTATTAAAGCAAGTTCCAGTCATATCTCTGTTTCTAAGTTGTACCTCTTAGCATTTCAGTGCAAGGGTATTCCTCTATCAGAACATGTTGAGATAGAACATGATGTTATTGGTAGGTTTCCAATTCAGATTATTCTGGGTCTTTCTTCCCATTAATTTGATTAGTAAATATTGGGGGATATCTAGGAATCATGCTTTTGTGGCTGTGTCCTTCACTATAAGGGTTGGGCTCTGGGCTAAGGATTAAATGTGGTATCACCCTTTTTCACATTGTATTTCTCTCTTTCTTTTCTCTAGGAAGTTAAGGGTGATGGAATATTTATATACCTTCGTCCTCTGGAAGGATGTTTTTATCATGGGGATTGTTGATGTTATTATTGTCTGATTTTTCTTTAAATAGTACAATAAATACAAAATCAAATAATTTGTCAGCCTTTTGGGTTCTTTACTAGGTAAAAGATTTTCACCCAGGAGAGATTTCCAAGAGTGTTCAGTAGTTATCTGAGCAGGACTGGGCAGTACAGAATATTCTAGCTTTCCTAGTACAGTACTATTGAATTTAATTCAGTAAGTGTTTTTGAGCAGCTGCTCCATACTCAGCCCTTGGTTACGGACTATGGAAGATGCAAGAGAAGTGGAAAACTCAGTCCCTGCCTTTTAGAAGCTTATGCTTTTGTTGAAGATATAGGATATATACACACAAAGCAAATAAAGAAGATTACAAAATCCTTCCTCTGCTATTCACCACTTTAGAGTCTATCTAATTCTAATTCTCTCATTTTATAAATGAGAAAAAAAATGATTTGCTCAAAATCCCACAGTAACAACCTCTCTGGGACATTTTTTTCTTTATCTGTTACCTGAGAGGGTTCAATTTGTTGATCTCTAGAATCCCTTTCAGATCTGCTCAGAAGATCAGCTATGCTCAGAAGTGCTTCTGTGTACAGTATTGTAAATTTGCTAAATTCTGTACTGTGTGCCTGGCACACAGTAAGTCCTTAAAAAATGCTTGTTGTAAATGAGTCACTAACAGCTTCCTCAAAAGAATGCCATATAGCAGGTTCTGTTATTATTCCCATTTTACAAGTGAAAAAACTAAGAGGCATTCTCTGTTATTTCTGAAACAATCCTTTTAAGGGATATCTTATGATTTATTTTCCTGGTTATTATAGGGAAATAGTCAGGTTTAAAATAATACAATAAATAGGAAAGTTTCAAGGTTCTTTGAAAATGAATCCTCATCTTTAATGAATACATGAATGTAGTTTGGACTAACCTTTCTTATCTCCTCTTTTTCTTCTACTGGTTTATCTTGTAGTTGTTGTATCTAAAATCTACTTAATCTACTCCGGCCTGAAGGTTAGTTGCTGGCTCATACATAGTCTGAAGAATATTTGGATTTAGCAAAGCTGCCAGCACTTGGCAGTTTGGGGATAATGATGAAAGCAGTGGATTAATCATCCAAGGATCTGGTTTCAAAAATGTGTGGTCTCTTCTTACTACCTGAGAGATTTTGACCAAGTCCTTTTATGTTTGAAATTTAATTTTCTCATTGTAAAATTAGGTGGCTGTAGTAGATCTCTTCTCAGCTCCTTTCCAGGTCTAAATCTTATGGTAGAATTTTTAAGTCCTTCTAATACCTGCTTCCTAATTTTCTGACCTGGTTGTCTGAAGACCATTGCTGACAAAGACATTTTCTTAAAAAGCCCCCCCCCCCCCCAAACCACTCCAAACTCTGGGAATTACATCATTCTCGAAGCCATATCTTTGAGGTCACATTCTACATCCTACCTGGTGATTTCCATGTCTCCAGGCACTTGATAGCTTTGTCCTCTTCTGGCTTCCAGGATACAAATGACATTTCTCTATCTATACCCACAGACTGGTAGCATCATGTAAAAAGAGCAGGGCTAAAGCTTAAAGTGAACTAAATTTGGTTCCAGACAAGAATAAAATGTTTTTTTTTTCCCCTATATCTATCTATAGGACTCTTTTAGCTATGTGTTGTACAATAGGAAGATGAAAGAAGATATAGGACTAAAGATAAATGTATATGAAAGAGATTGATAATTGATAAAAAGAAGTCAGAACCACTGGTGGTTTTTTGTTTGTTTTCAATTTTCTCTGCCAATGAGAATGATCTTCAGGATGCAAAAGATTACACAAACATGGTCAAAAGGAATTTGAAATCCAAAATAAGTGAGAAGATAAGACTATCTGGTTGCCTTTGATGAATGTAGTTAATCAGGTTTTGAAGAATTATTATATATAATAGTATAATAAAATAAATGGTGGGTATAGTTGGGCTGCTGTGAGCAATCTTTGAAAAATCACGTAGAACAAGAGAAGGGCAATTATTATTTTACTTTTCAAAAGAGTGTGGAGTCTTTGAAATATGGGCTGGTGACTATGATTTTGATCCCTGCTAATATTCCAGAATTCATTGAAAGGAAGATTTGTAAAAATGTGAAAGACAAATAATCATAACTAACAACCAGTCCAATGGCTTCACAAAGAACAGGCAATGGCAGATGACTACCCTCATATTCATTATTCATAGGATTACTACACTGATATATCTAGTAGACTTAGTATATTGAAAAAGAATACTTAGCTATTAGCAAAACATTTAACAGTTTTCATTGTGGACAATATGGAGAGATGTAGCATAGCAGAATGTAAAATCAAATGCATTCAGAACTGATAGAATGGCTCTCTGCAAAGAGTTACGAGGAAAGAGGGGACAAGTATTGAACTTTCATTAGGCAAACTATGAAATTCAAATGGTTATAGTTGAAAGGAAAATAGTTACTCAAAATTCAAGCAAAAAAGGTTACAATAAACTCTGCTTACTCACTTAACCCTTTTTGCCTTAGTTTCATCATCTGTAAAATGAACTGGTGAAGGAAATGGCAAACCACTCCAGTGTGTTTACCAAGAAAACCCCAAAATGGGTCACAGAGTCTGACACAACTGAAGAATGACTGAAAAACAAATGTTTCTACCAAGGAAGGAAAATTCTCCAAATGTGGGATTCAAGATAAGTTCAGTATACAATAAATAATAAATTTGCTTCCACATGAGGGCTTTGTCCATCATTTAGCTTTACTAATATATTATAAAAGGTAATACAGATAAAAACTTGAATATTTGAGACTAAACCCAAATCTTCTGATTTCAAATCCAGGTCCTTTCTGCTGTACTACATTTTCATATTCTTACCCCATCCCTAAATAATAAGAGATTTCCTTCTTGCTCACATGTCACAAATTGATCTCTAATGATAACCCAGGACAGAAAGAAGGGAATCTCTGATTGTTCTATGACCTTCCAAAATTGAAATTAAACAGATTTTCTCAATGAACAATTCTAATGTAAGTAAAATTCTTCTCACTATTTCCTACATACTTCTTTCTGTCACATAAATCCTTTTGGAAATCTTCTATTCGCCATCTTTTGTAAACACAATATTTTTTAAAGCATCCCCTTCATGAATTTAATTCCCCAGTGTTATAATCTGAAGGGGTAAGCAGTGAATAAGAAAGCAATATCTCATTATCTTCCAAAAGAGAGGAATAACTTGGAATAGGTTCTGTTCAGAAAAACCTGAGCAATAGCTTCCTTATACCTTCTGGATTTGTCTGGAATTATGAGCTATCATAGGAGGAAGTAGTAACATTAACAAAAACAACTTGCTCGTATTTATTTTATAGAACTTTTCTTACCTCGAACCTATGAGTTAGGTAGTTTCGCATAATCATACTAAAATTTACACATAAGCCTTGCATCAGACCCTCTCTGGTTATAAAACGCCCAATTTCCCAAAGGATTTGGGGAATTTTCTCTTTCTTTTGATTCATAGTTTCCACCAAAGAAGTCTGAGAAAAAATAAGCATGGTCCTATCTAATGTATTAAGATGGATTTTCCACTTGCAGAATTACATTTCACTGTGTGTGTGTGTGTGTGTGTGTGTGTGTTTGGTGGGGGGGGGATGGAGAAAGCAAAAGTAGAGTCCAGACCTATGATTTCTTCAAAGTGGGAAATTCCCTCTTATGGCAACTCTAGAAAGGAAAGAACATTGATAAAACATTTCTTAGAAAACTACACAGAAATTAAGAAAAAAAAGTTCAGAAGGAAACTTGAACAAATAGACTAAATCTGTCACTATTTTGTTAAGTCTTATATGTACTTAAAAACTACATTGCAAAAATGCATAGTTTTATGTGCAATTCTCTTTTTTTGGCTCTTTAAATATTGAAATGTTTAGGTTTATTGGTGATTAAGTCTATAATATAACATAAAGTAATAAAAAAGACTCTTACTACCAATGTAGACCAGTAAATAATCCTTAATTTATAGTCTTTGAAAGTTTTCTGGGGCACTGAGATGATAGGTGAATTGCCTACCATCAAAGATATAGTATGTGTCACATTTAGGACCCCAGGTGTTCCCTGATTCTAATTCCAACTCCCTCTCCATATCATCATGTGGCTTCCCAGAATTATATAGAAGGAAATTTAAAAAGAGGAAAGACAAACATAGGCCTTGAACTGAATGACCATTAGTACCAAACATGGATATAAACCTCTAGAGTCACAATCTCAAATAAGCATCCCTCATACATATTATTGCCACTATTGCCTCTCTCATGCAGGAGAAGGGAAAGGGAGAAAAAGTACCATAATTAGGACTGACAAGACCACAGCAGTAAGGGGAAGAGGTGTGCCGAATGAATCTTGGGATGTTTCTTGAGCATCCACGATCAGCAAGAATAGAATTGGAGTGATGCTTCTGGAGAGACACAAGAAAAAGCAGAGACTGATATAAGTGGTGAACTAGTCAAGAACACTAAGATGGAAAGGAATCCCAAAAGAATCCTGCTAATTCCAGACCAAGCCAAGAGGTTTCACTACACTCTAATATAGCCTGAGAGGGTAGAAGATCTCAATTCTGTCCTGTGAAAACACACTGAAAGGAGTCAAGGAACTAATGAACTGTTTCTTCCCATTCCCTCCTCCACCCACCCCACCCCCACCCATTACTCTGAGGGATAATTTCCTCACCCTTTCCTAAATTTTGCTGGAAGATTTCTATTCCATCCTTTTGTCTAGGAAGGTTTAGAAAGATTTGTACTCATTTGTGTATGGGGTCAGAGAACGACTACTACTTTATTCTCTCCCTCGTTATTTACATACACAGTTAAGTATTTGCTATTGTTTTAATACCTCTGGCCTGAACTGGTATAGACTGTGACATAGTGGATCAGCTCAGGCTGTGATTTGCATAAATGATTACCTTCGTCATCACACTGAATCGAGAAATACAGCCAGGAGCTCCAGAGCCAGAGTTATCTAAAGACTTCTAGTATTTTATGTTCTTATATCTTGAAATGAACATGCACCATATAACTTGCAACCTCAGTTTTCTTCATCTGTAAAATCCTGCAGTTGAACTAGATGATTTCTAAGATCCCTTTTTTCCTCTTTATCCTATGATCCTATAAAAAAAAATCACTTAATTTCCCTACCAATTCAGATGGGAGGCAGAAGGTGAAAATATCTTAGCACTTATTACATACAGATAAGGAAAGTGAGGCTTGTAAAGGATAACCTTTATTATTATTTATTATCAAACAGCCAATGTGATCTAAACATTTTGAACTTATTCAGGACTCTTTTTGCCATGCAATATTACATATTAAGCAAAGAAGTGACCAGGAGCTGAGGCTAAATGTTGTATTTAGAGGTCCTGTACCTAGGACAGACTTTCCCCTGGCATCGGAGGTCAGCTAAGTGGTGCAGTGGATAAAGTTCTAGCCTTGCAGTCAGGAAGACATGAGTTCAAATTTGGCTTTAGATGCTAGTTATGTGACCCTGGGCAAGTCACTTAAGCCCTGACTCAGTTTTCTCAACTGCAAAATTGGAGTAATAATAGCTTCTAACTCAGAGGGTTGTTTTTAGTATCAAATGAGATAGGTAATATTTGCAAATCTCTGGCACATAGCAGGTTCTCATTAAATGCTTGTTCCCTTCAATATATATCGATATCTCTATCTATCTATCTATCTATCTATCTATCTATCTATCTATCTATCTAT